TACTTTTTGCATTTTTCAGCTGCATCTCTTCTGAACAGTATTAGGAGAGTTTAGCCAGCTGAGCTATACAATTTATTTACAAAAATATAATTCCCTTTCTTATCTAGCAGATCATTTTGCTGTGTAACATATGGGTTTAGGCTGTGGCAAATTTCAGGTTGACAATAATGAAACAATAAACAGCCTCAGTGAAAGTAGATGGAAGGAAATATTTCTGTAACTTTCCTGTCCTCAGAAGCACATTCAGAAGTGACCAGATTATATAATTCTCCATTTTGGTCATGAAGTTAAAGTTTCTGGGTGCTAGACGTATATACAGTGACTGTTTCAGGGGATGGGTGAAATTCTAGGGAGAATTTATTTGTCAGTTTTTCCTGTGCTACTGCATAGAACAGGGTTCATAAACACTGGCAGATCATGGAGCAGGGATCTATGTCTTGACCCTGGCGCTCTGTAGTGGTTTCTTCAGCCTGCTGCCTATTTGCCCAGCCAGTCATCTGGCCCTGCTCAATCACACTGTTTTCTGTCTTCTAAGTTCCTCTTCCTACTCTTGCTTTCTTTGTCTGCAGTGTCTCAACCTGCACTCTTCACGTATGTCATCCCAATTCCTCTTGCCCATCCATGCCGAATGGCCCTTTCTCAACTCTTTTGATGCCCACTTTCCTTGCTTCTGGATCCTAGTCCTAGTCTATCTCCAGCCTTTTCATCAGTCTCAGACCAGCTGCATGCTCCCTGGGCTCTTTCAGCAGTCTGTCTTCCTCTCTGGTCCCATCCTTTTGCATCCTGGCATGTCTCACACAATTCTTCTCCTTGTTGATTCTCCAGTTCCTATTCATCTGTCCCAAATTGCTTCAACTCTAGCAACAAGTTTTTCCAAGACTTTAAACCCTTTGTCAAAGCCAGTCAAATAAGCCTTTGTGTTTTTTATAGCTCCTAGTCCCTGTCTCTTTCAGTGTTTTTGCTTGGTCAGCAAATTCCTGTTTGACTTGATCCATCTCAGGTTGGGTCACCATTTTCTCACAACATTTCAGCCTAAACAATTTGTAGAAATAGCCAAGGACTTAAGAATATGAAGCACTGGGAAATCTGAACGGGGGATGGCGTTAGCCTACCTACAACATTGCAATTTCACTAGAGCAACACCCTTGTCTGTTTCTCTGCATATATATAAAGTGCAGTCTAAGCCATTAGAAGCATTTATTTTTGTTTTACTGTCTACCAATAGTGTAAGTAACTGTCCATTAGAACTTAGATCTCTCACACTTTGGAGAAAATTGAAAACACATCACGTAATAGCAAATGGTAGTTGAAACAATAAACCAGATGCTAAGATGGTGTAAATCAGTCTGAGTGTAAGGAAGTAATTCCAGTTTGTACTCACTGCAGATCTCCTCTTTTGAATATATATTTGCTAGTAAAAGAAATGCTAATAGAAAAATTGTTAAACTGAGACTAAAAATCTGCCTTGTAATAACAGCAACTTGATCAATCTTGTTTCTCTCTTGAGCTTAATTTGAATGCAAAAACAGTAGGTTTTTATTGTCTAAGTAAACTTTCTAATTAAAAAAACAATCAAAGTTTTATAACACAAGCATAAATGTAAAGAGCTCAGTTCAACTACGTTGATTAGAAACTGAAGATGTGTCTCCTAATAAAAATATAGATTTACCTTTTTTCTCTTGGTATAAATTACATTAATTTTTAGGGGTTTTGTCTTTTTTATTTAATTTAATTTTAATTTTTTGTTTGTTTGTTTGTTTCTTGGGTTTTTCCATTATAGTCTGAAATGATGTAGTACTAAGCCAAAGACATTTCCACTCCTTCAGAGTCTTTAACTTGCCCTCTTTGGATATTCTGATTTCATTTCTTCCTTCTTTCTCACAGGACTCTTCCTTTCTGTTTATTTTTCCTAGTCCTCAGGATTATTGAATAATGGTAAGAAATTTACCTCTTTCCATTTATGGACACTAGTTTATTTAAACTAATTTCAAAACAGACAATTTCTTTATAACTTTTTTTAAGCCTCATCTGTGTAAAATTATTCTATGGTGTTTAAACCACTTTAGTTTTATTTCCAACTCCTGATAGCAACTTTCTTAAGCATAACTCCTGGAAGTAAATTTTGCTTTGGGATTTACTCTAAGTGTTTGATGGCTGAGTAACACCAGTGCTTTTGCACAGTTGATAGAGATAGCCACACATCTTGGTGGAGCATAGGGTAGCCAGCTCTGTAGTTGTGATGCTTATAACTTCTGTTTTTATAACTTCTATATATTTGGCTTACACAAAACAAAGCATGCATCAATGAGTAGTGTTTAGGGATCTCTGTGCTAACACCAAGTTCAGCTTGGGTCTCCATAGGTACAGATGACAAGAATGAATATGAAAGATTCAGGAAAAAGTATTTCCTTTTGATTAAATGAATGTTTTCATAGAGGTATTTTATTTTAGATTTTCCTCAATAAAATAATCTCCTTTTACCCTTCATTTATGACAGATGTTTATATGAAAAAAAAAAAGGAGTTACAGAACCTTGCTAGTTTTTATCTTTAAAGTTTTTATAGACAAGTTAAAACTTTTTCAAGTATCAATATCTTCCAAAAATCTTCAAAGCTAAACTTTGATAAAAATACCTGCAACAGATCAACAATCACTTTTCAGTATTCCTCCTATAACACCCAAACCCCAAATATTTTATCCATGACAACAAGCCTGAATCACAAATATGACTGGTGCTGTAGAACTGCTGACTGCAATGGCAAATCATGTCCTCTTCTACAAAGATGTAAGTTTTTGCTGGCTTTTGCCTTTCCTTAGCAATTTCAGAAAGGCTTTTTTGCTGTCATCTAAACCTACCCAGCTGCTTTATCATGGGCTGGCAGTGACACACTACTTAAAATGTAATAAGCTACAGTGTAATTAAGCAGCAAATGTCCATAAATAAAGTAATTTTCTCCATTCTATCCATTGATATTTCCCAGCTTGAATGTGCTTAAATAATTTATTAGTTTGCTTATTTGCTTATTTCAGTTCTAAAAGACCACAAAAAATTCCAATCCTCTATGCAAGTAGACTCTAAAAAAAAAAAGAATATACAGGAAAGACAGACCCAACTTTACCCTTAGACAACAGGGATGAGGAAGTATGCGATATAAAAATGAATGAATGAAGAATCAAAGCATGATTGTGCTGGCAGCTCTGACTTTTAGTTTTTCCAGTGATTGGCATGGTAAACTGAAATCCTAGCTGAATGATGTGAATGATGTAAATGAATGAATCCTTTAGACACTGAAGGTGTGAATATTTTAGACATAAACTATTGATCATATCTGGGACTACGTCTGGATCCAGCTGCACAAATACTTCCTCTGAGAAGGAGTTTAGAACACGAGGGGGTATTTATGCTCATGACTGAAGAGGAGGATTTCCCTGACAATTCTGTCTGACCCTGTCCACTATGAAGTGAATAATCAATGTACCCGGCCATTAAAATTTGCTGGTGCTTTTGCTGTTGGACTTTGTAATATCAATAAAGTTTATTGCTGTTTCTCTCTTATGAGTCAAGTCCACACGCCCATCAACAACAAAAGGTGATACTGAAATGCAGACAAATATGAGACTACAGTGGTATTGCACAGCTGCTGCCCGCCAAATGTCGAATATGGCAGAAGCAGGGAAAAAATATAGAATATTTCTAGTTGTCTTGTTTTATAGAATAATGAAACAATGCTGCTTCTAGGTGTCATTACAGTGTCTGTAAGTGGCTCAAATATTTTTGCACCTCTCCTTTTTATCTTGGTGGCTCCTACTGTTCCTATGATATGCAGGAGAAAGTCACCAGATGATAAATCTAGAGTTTAACTAAATTTATGTGGCATATTTTCCACATACTTTAAGAAGCTGAATCCATGTTTACAGGAGAAATGGTGTGGAATTCATCCCATGAAAGAAGAAGTTCTGTTAACTGCTGCCTTGCAAGCACTCCATGTTTCACAATTTGTATCACAAGTAGATAATAAGTAAATATTTACACAAATTGGAGCTGATTTAAGTACAACAAAATAAAATAAAAATTAAAATTAAATGCAAACACAAGGATTTGTAGTGCATCAGGTGACTGATGAAAAATAAGGCTGTATACAAAATAAACATCAAGGCATTCCATATTCTTATTTTACAGCACTGTATGGTTTTCTTTTAGACATTTTTCTTCCTAACTTGTACTTGTTTTCCTGTGTGTCCTCTGCCTGACATGAAAGTCTTAAAAATTAATTAATTCACAGAACACAGTGTCCATAGCCAGTCACAGAAAGGCTTTATACCCTTTTTTACTGCCCACTCAGCCCCATAGGCCTGTTGGCCAGGCAGTGTTGTAAGATGGGGATGTTGTGTGGCTGTTTGTACAGCAACAGTTCTGCATATATGTCTGTGTTCATGGTTCAACATGACACTATGGACGCTTTATCATTTTTGTATTTTCTCTCCATTGTCTTTCCAACACTTTGAAACTAGTCTAAGCTGAATTACAACATCAGGGAGGCTGGTCTAGGGGTAATACTATCCAAAAGAACTCAGGTAACTTTGAGTTTGCCTAGCAATGGTTAGAGTTTCAGCTGTTGGAGAAAACTGTTTTAAAAAAAATATATAAAGGGCAGGGAGGATCCCTTTGTTATTGCTGCCTCTGGAGAGCAAAGGTATCCAAAGTGCAGTAGCTGGACCTGGGCACTTCCAAGGCTCTGTCCAGTCTGTATTTTGATATTGTTCCTTGTGTTCCTGGTTCTTTTCCTTCCTTCGAAGGCCTTCTTTGTTTCTTCCTTCTTTTGATTTTCCTGCCCTGCCAGTCTTTGCGGGATTTGTAATTTTCTCTTCTTCCCCCACCCCCCATTCCCCCTCCTCCCTTCCCGCGCGTTCCCCCTTTGTCCTGCGACCCAGCCCGCCCCGCCCCTCCCCCCTTCCCCCTGCGGTCCTTTGTCCCGACCCTGCATTACTTTATCACTTGCCCTCGCCACGCGGTCGGTCCCTGCCCCCCCCCGCCACCTTTCCCATTGCCGCTCCTGCCTCCCTGGGGTCTCCAGGGTTTCCCTGCTCCTGCCCTATCCCCATTGGCCGCAGCTCAGGTTCCCCCCCTGCCCCCGGCACAGGGTATAACCGGCCCCCGGCCAGTGCCCCAGCGGTTTCGGGAACATGCTCCCACAATAAACACGTGTCTCCACCCAAGCCCTGTGTCGCCATTTTGTCTGTTCCTGCGCTAGAACTGAGCCTCGCGGAGCCAAAGGGTAAAAGCAGCCCCACCTCTCCCCTCTTCCCGCCGTGCTCCTGCAGGTACCCGACCGGAGCCAGCCTCGCACAGCAACAAATGGTAGCAGAGGATGGTTATTTCCATCGATTTGTGAAAGGGGGGGGAGAGAGAAAGGAATTCTGGCGCTGTAAGAGCTCTGTTCACGCTAAGAGGAGTGGATTCACCGGGCAGAAAACAAACCCAAAGCTCTGGGGACCCTCTTCCATCCTCGCCGGCGTGCTCTCTACCCCGCCTGGGGCAGCCGGACTGCAGGGGCTGGGAGCCGGGTAAACTTATCCGAGGACAAAGAAGACAGTTTGGCAGTGGCTCGATGGACTGAGCTCCGAAGAGTGGCCCATCAGGGGATGGCATTTGAATGGAGACCAGAGGCTGACAGTGGCCGAACCCAGAGTTTCAGGGATGAGCTCTCCTTAACAGGAACACTCAGGCTTCTGGGAGAGCCAAACTGCGAAAGAATACGTCCTCAGTTCAGTGTGATTTTCCACCACTGAGGAGAGAGATAGAGATTTCACCACCTGAGCCCAGAGGGTAAGTTGGGTCAGAGCAGGGTGGGACCCTGGTGGGCAGCTGAGCTACCTTTTTTCCTTTTCTGAGTTTTAACCATCGTCTGTGCCCAGACTGGGGCTGTAGCCTTGGATGTCCCTGGTGGCCGGGAGGCTTTTTCTTTTCCGAGGAGGATGCAACCTCGCTCGGTCTTTTTTGGGGTAACTCATACTGGAAAGCTCCTTCTCTTTCTCGGAAAGCTGCATTTTTTACCCTCTCCTCCCTATTCTGGGCTATGGACGAAAGGACACCAATGGCACAGAATTGTAAACGGCGACACGTCAGCTATGGGAGAATTGTTAACATCCTAAAAGAGGCCCTTCACATCCATGCATTTTGTCGGCTTCCAGCTGTGTCGGGCTCCTCTCCTGTAGTTTTCCCTTTCAGCTTCTGTGAAGCCTCTTATTCCCTTTTCCCCACAGACTTTCCTAAACTCTCTCCCTTGGGGATGGCCGCAGCCGAGCCGCCCCAAGCACCCTGCCGGACACTGTAATCCTCCCTTAGGGGTGGCATTGGCCATGCCTCCCCGGGCGAGATGCAGTGCACCCGGCACCCCCTCCCAAGATGGCGCTGGACACGCTACAGGGATCCGATTTTCCTGCCATAACCCTTCTCTTCTGCACAAGTATTCCCGCCAGCCCCACCCCTCCCCCAATGGCCCTGCACCATCCTGCAGTGAGGCCAGCCCCTATTGGGGGGAAGGTGAAGTTGGATCAATCCTTCAGTCCTTCTTCTGGCTCCCCCTCTGATGGGAGGGATTGCCGGAGGGGCCCCTCCATTAGAGGACCTCCCTTTCTAAGAGAGCTTTCCCCTTTGCTGGGGGGGGGGGGGGGGGGGTCCTTCGAAGGGAGTGGAGGTGGAAACCCGGACCAGGGCTCCACTGTTTTCGTCCCCCTGAAACAGTGGCGCCCAGGTTCACCCCTATCCCATCTCCTAAATGTACCTTGCCCAAAGTTCCCTTATTATTTCAATAAAAGTTTTCCCCATTGCTTGTGATCATTTGGAAATAACTTCTTGAATTGAGTTATATCTTATAGAAGGAAAGATCATCCTCTCTAATTACTGCCCACAATGCTATGCCAACTTCACAATCAAATAATCAAATTGGAGAAACCATGTAGCTACTTCTGCTCTGCTAGAATTCGAAAAACCACAAGCATCGCATCATGGATCCTGCTTTCATCCTCGATACAGAATGTGTTTATGATAATTTTGTACCCTTTATCTTAAATTGTAATGTGGAAAAGATTTTTGCCCCATTCATTGTAACTATGATTGGTGTATCACTTTCTGATGTCTCTCGACTTACGTTTTCTCAGCAGTTTGTAACGCTGCTAATTTGTTTTTACCTCAGAACTCCCTTTCCTTTATGTAAATTCCAAAGAATGAGTTGAGGGATTTGTAATTTTCTCTTCTTCCCCCCCCCCCCCCCATTCCCCCTCCCCTCTTCCCACGCATTCTCCCTTTGTCCTGCGACCCAGCCCGCCCCTTCCCCCTTCCCCCTGCGGTCCTTTTCCCGACCTTGAGTTCCCTTATTACTCGCCCTCGCCACGCGGTCGGTCCCTGCCCCCCCCCCCCCCCCAGCCTTTCCCATCGCCGCTTCTGCCTCCCTGGGGTCTCTGGAGTTTCCCTGCTGCTGCCCTATCCCCATTGGCCGCGGCTCAGGTTCCCTCCCACTCCCAGCACGGGGTATAACCAGCCCCTGGCCGGTGCCCTGGGGGTCTTGGGAACATGCTCCCACAATAAACACGTTTCTCCACCCAAGCCCCGTGTCGCTATTTCGTCTGTTCCTGGGCTAGAACTGAGCCTAGCAGAGCCAAAGGGGAAAAGCGGCCGCCGCCTCTCCCCTCCTCCCGCCGTGCTCCCACAGGCGCCTGCCCAGAGCCGGTCTCGCACGGCAACAAGTCTTGTTTATAAATTTGTAAGTGCTTCCCAGAATTCATTTTCTTTGTCCAGCAAGGAACTTCATCATACCCATCAAAGGCAATCAGCTCTTCCCTTGCTCTCCTACATGCTGTGCTCTTCAAAATTGCCTCAGTCTAGGTTGTCTTGTCAGTAAATGAGATTCTATATAAATAAACCACTTTTTGTTACAAGGTCAGATTTACCAATTCCTCCACTGCCAGCTCATTTGGCCAGGTGATTTTGGGGTCTACAACCTTATCGGAATATCAATGTTTCTTACTCATTCTTTAGAAGCATGTTTGTAATTTATGTACTACAAAACCTTTAGGTATATCCATCCATCCACAATGAGGGGTAGGATGCTCAGCCTCATTCCATGGTCCCTTTTGTTTAGCAGTGTAGACATACTCCTCATGTCTGACATTAACATTTACTTAATTTTACATCAAGCCTAACACAATAGTATCTGAATGCTAGAAGCCTCTCCATTCTTCTAAAATATTATTATTTTATAAGAATTATCATTAAATCATTATCATGTTTACTAATGATGATTATGATTATAATAACAAATACTCTTTTCCCTTTAGAGCTTCCCTTGTGTTGGAAAAAATGTGTTGTTAATCTCAGAGCTCCCTGATTCCTCTTAGCTTCAGTGAATGAATTGCTGTTATTCTTTCCTGCATTTGTGAATGCTTCTGCTATTTCTACAATTCTTTCCTACTTCATACGTGGATTTCAAAAATACAATTAGGAAATTTCAGCATGCAGAGGAGACACAGAAAGGTATTTCTGATGGACACAGCATGATAGTGTATGGATGTTGTTTCAAGATCTATTTCAAATATGTCCTGACTGTATGCAGTGAAAATGATACTGTGAGATAGGAGAAGGCATTTTAAGTAGATAATGAAGTTGTAGAAAATATGTTCAAATAAATGTTCTTATTCTTTCTTGCCACTAAATAAAATTACAGGAATATCTTTTCTAGCATAAAAAGTTTGCTATGTCTGAGTTCTTATTTCTTGAATAAAAATGATCTGCAAATATGCAACAGGTATCATTAACAGTACCAAATAAGTCAGAGCCTTCCTGGAATATGAAGTATGAAAAAATAGTCTTTTTTCTCCCCTCTGCCCTCCAAAAAAATGAAAATTTAAATTTTATGGCCATAGACCAGTTTCTCTGATGTAGTATTTAAGACCTGAAAGCTTGAAGGGTTTGGTAAGAAGCTAGACTTGTAAGCTCTTTGCCCCAAACCGCAGTACTTTGAGAAATATGTATCCTTCACAGCTATACTCAGGGCAGCTCATAAGTTCTGGACTGGAAACTTTCCTGTTAAACTCACTGCTATTGAAGGATTGTAATTTCATATTAACCACTACAGGTTTCTCAATTACCATTACAATGAGTCCTTTTGCTCCACTAAGGCAATAGCCAGTTTGCAGAAATTTCGAAAGTTCTATGGACAAAATTTCTGAAGGACTCACGTTATGTAGGAAAAATAACCTGGTAAAAATTCTGTCTACTTCTTTTCTCCCTGAATCCCTCAGGAGGTCTCTGTGGATCACCGCCACTCCTATGCACTTGTAATCTTACTGCTGCAATTTTAAAACCTTTTAAAAAGAGCCTGTATTTTGTATTGGTAAATAAATAATGGCTACATATGATTTTTCTTCTTTAAAAATTGAACACTCTTTGGGCTCTTGTTATTATCTCTGTGTAGTACTAAATGTCAGGTCAGTGAGACTGCTTTCATCTCTACAAAATTACTCCCAGGTCTGTTATTAAATAGGCAGAGTTGGCAATAAATATTGTATTAAAATTTTACTGATAGTAATAATTTAGCAATTGTAGCAGCATTTCAGTCATGAGCTGGGGGCCAGTCAGTGATTTTTGGAAATTTGTTGTTAAATAGAACATCACTTGGTTAAAGGTTAGAGAACATGTGATAGATTGCTGGTTAAACTTGTGGAAGAGCACATGCAATTTGTGGTATCCATATAGAATAGACCTGAGATACAACCTTAAAATCCTGAGTAAATCCTGGTAACTAAGGATTTGTGATATTAGTCAATGAGCTCCCAGCAGCTCGAGTCACAAGCTCCTTTTGCACAGTGCCAGAATGACCTGGGGCAAGGCACGATTATCCCTTCAGCAGCCCTCCTCAGGTACAACTGAGGTGCTGAGAACCAGTGTAGAGAATGTCCAGAAGAAACTGTGAGATTGGTGACATCATATCCTGCAGAAGTGTTCCCAGTCAGGGCTGGGCATTAATCTTGTTTCCTATGCTCATGGAGCTGTGGAGTTGCCTAAGCATGTGTTTACAAGGTATGCATTTGCCAATGGTTATAGCCAGCAGACATCACAAGTCTCAAATCTTCTTTTTCCCTTGGGGAAAAAGTACGACAAGGTGATATACATAATTTATGGGCATCTGAGTAAATACTCTATGAACATATGCTTGAATTTAAATTTTGTGTCG